ATTTTCAATCAATTAAAAATGAAAGTCAAATCGTAAAAGGGCGTCGCTTGAAGGGCGGTGTTTTAGAGAAATTGAAAAATTAGTCCGTAAATTAAAAAAATATAAGTTAAGCTGTGTTATTTATACGAATAGGATAAATAGTATTCGATTTGTATAATGTATAAATTGGGGCGCTTTCATTGTCTCACTCTGTAGTTGAAGATTTAATTCACAGCGAAGATGGTAAACTTACCAAAGATGCTTTTCAATATCTCAATTTGAACTTTTATCTACCTAAATTTACAAAATAATCTCCTAGTAACCACAAATCAAAATCCCAAGTCATGAACTGATCAATCGCACATCAAACATGATGGAAGTGGACACAGTCTGTCACCCTTGCCAACCCAGCATAGCCCAGAGGGGAAACTTCTTCAGTGACCAATACTTCGAATCAGCGAGGAGGACCTTGCAAGAGCTGATGGCTCAGATGCAACAAAGTAGAAACCAAGTAAACTTCCCGCCGGGCAGGGTGGATCAGCTGTTAGCAGAACTAGGCGCTTGGCAACAGAGTGGACAGACGATGCATGCAGCTATGAGCTCCATCAAACATGACAATCTGTTCGCCACTGTGTTCAGATTCGAGCCTGAATGTTTAAAGGTGAGCATTGTGTAGCTAGGTTACAGTTGTATAACAAATAACTGGTACAATGAGGCTGTAATTGTTAATGGAAGGGTGTGTTTGGTCTGTTTTACTGTCTTTCGATTCGAATTGCAATGTCTAGAAGGTATTGAGAAAGGTTGTATGGGTTGGTTACCATTATTCAACAATGAGAAATGCCGTGTTACCTATTAAATGCTAGTATGTATATATTTCTGTTTTACTGAAAGCTGGGCAAAAAAAATGGACCAGGCCAATTAGGTTTGACACTTCGCAATGTACTCGTATTACAAATACAATTGTTTTCTTCGGCTCAAAATCTAATGTGTTTTTATTCATTGCCTCTTCCACTATTCAGAACAGTTTACATGATTACCTTTCGTATTTCTTAAACATTTTCAGTAAGGCACAGAAACTATACATTTTTTGTACAAAAGCTATACCCGTCACGTCATGCACTTACTCTGGTTGACACGAAACTTTTAGGTACTTAAAAAATCAGAAATTAAAAACTACATCCACCAAATGCCGAATTTACCGCAATCAAAAGAAAGTCACCCTGTTTTGTACACTACATTTTTCGAAATACAAAATATTTTTCAAAAAATCATAATTCGCTACGAGAAAGAGTAACGATAATGATTTCCTCGTGTTCATGGGAGATGTTCAAGATTTTGCAGCGATCACGAGGCAATTCCACATTAATTTAACCTAGGTCCACAAGTACTTTATCCAACATTGCACCCACTAACACAACAGAAAACACATTTCAAATCACAAATCATTTCCAGATGCTGATTGACGTGAAAGGGTTTCAACCGTTCAACATCAAGCTGAATGTTCACGACGAGGTGGTTGAGTTGTCAGCAGTCAAGGAGGAAGCCTCAGCCGCACCGACGCCCGGGGGTCAAAACTGCGTGGGCTACATGAGCAGAAACATCGTCAGGAAGTACATGTTGCCCCAGAGACTGGTCAAGGAGTGTGTGCAATGCTGTCTGTCAGCTGATGGGGTCTTGTTCATCAGCGCGCCTTGGCTCAGATGTTAGATAAATACATTAGTGTATACAATAATACTATGCAAACAATATTTGATCAGTGTTTACTTGGTTTTGTGTTTCTACGTCATAGGATGTATTACGTGTGGGACAGGTCTAAACCCTGGCAGTTTTCCTATCTGACGCCCACCTTTCGTTGAGCCCTAGAATTAACGGCTTGGTATCGAACCGGAAACCTTCAGACATGAAGGTGAGCACTAAAACCACTCTACTGACTGTATACAAAATCAGGGGACTGTTTGAATTAAAATGTATCTTCACAATCGAGCATCCTGCATTGCGTTGTTTTCTGACTGGAAATAGTCCATGATAGGATAACAGGGAGGGGGAAAACCCATTAATTTATTAGGTATACTAACGTCCTATTAATTATTGCAAATGGAGCTAAAGATAAACCATTGGCTTATACGGTAAGTAATTGCTGAGAAACTACTGTTTGTGCAACAAACAGCCATGCAAGATACAGTAATAAATATATAGTATTGCAAATATAATCACTTTAAAGTGCTGAAGATACAGCAACGCTAATACACTTATTTTAAGGCACTAATTATTGCAGAAGGCTTGAACAAAAGAGGTAATGTTTCATTAGAACACTACCAGTATGTTTTTCAGGTTAAAATTGTACAATTATATTCAAACCTAGTTCAGGCTAGGTTAGGCAAGAATTGCCACCAAACCTAAAACTAATTAGCATTTTATAAATACGTAAAAAAGACATCTCAAACATAAAACTTAAAAATGTTGCAAAGAAGTAATGTGTTATCAATTCAGCGCTGACTCACGTTGTCCAAATATTCGCTGAAACTGATAAGATGAACATGTTCTATGATAATTATAGAGTATCAGGTTGCAACAATGGGATATCAGCAGTGATAAGAAGCGGTCCAGCCGAACAGTGAAAGCTATCAATGACTTTCTCACAGAGAGGCGTGACTATCAAAACTGTGGCCTTAGGCCAGAACTCTCGCGTCGCCACAGGCCTCAGCCTAAGTGACGTATCGTGCTGGTAGAAACTACAAAGTAGGTGATGAGCCAAGTTCCTTTCTACGCTCACTTTCGGGGCTAAAAGAGTTTACATGCTAGAAATGGAGCGTCCTGTCTCAAAAGTAATACAGTTGGTTAACCTAAGGTTAGGTTAATGTTTGTACAACAAGGTAGTCAGTAAAGTGATGTTATTTTTGTTACACATTCCTACATAACGTCATCTCCACATTGTCCCCATAATATTGTTCCTTAAACTATGTTTATTAACAGCTGTTTCACTGTTCTAATCATACAAATTCTAATTAATTGCGAGAAATCTGTAAAACGTTTAGAACAGACTTGTCATTTTGTAATGTAATAGTTATTTTTTAATGGCATTAGATTAAAAAGGCCATACTAAAACAGAGAAAGAGTATCGTCTTTTTTGTGAATCTACCTATAGATTATTAAACATTTGTTTAATATGTAAGGAGTTCCAGTTCTTATACCAATCATCACTGCATGAAATAAGGCGTTTGTTAAGAAGAAAATATCTACCATTTTTGTTTTAAATGTCTTGTGAACATATTTAATACATAAGCTCGTTGAAACAAGACTAAAGCCTTGTCTCATTATGTATACACGTTATTGAAAAAACTTAGTAAGTTTACAAGTTGCTGTTTGTAAAACACAGCGGTCTGACTGTGTCAACAATGAAAGGATAATTCAAACAGTTTCAATAGGTGGTCAATCAAACAATTTACAATGAAAATCGTCTTGCCACTGCATACAAATTTCTTTAAAAATACTGGCAAGTTCTTTTGGTCCGTACGCAAAGCAACTACAGCGGTCTAATTATTTGAACAAAGCGTTTTTCACATTTCGGTAGGGAACGGTCCAAGCCCTGAGATAGCGCCGCCAATCAACATTCCTCTGTGCCGCGGCCGCAGGTATTTACTACTCCGTGCAAGTCTGGTATTTTACTACTCTGTGCGAGATTGTTTCTCCCACGCGCATTCTACATAGAAACCAATTAGTTTTGGACACGGCAATAAAGCGATTCACCACCAAAAAGAGTAAACCTCGGAGCCTTGACCTTTGGAGCTTCGTACAAATTAATTACCTCGCTTTGTCCCTTTCATCTCGGTTTGCTGAGAGCCAAAGCTACTGGAGAAGAGCAAAGGAATCTCGCTGAAGACTTTGCTAGCTGAGTAGCTGAGTGGCAACAGTGCTAGTTTGGATTCAGAAGGTCACCGGTTTTATCCTGAGAAGGTTACAGACTCTTTTTTTATTGTAATCTTGGACCATAATAAGAGACAAGTAGCCTACTTTCATAACGCTAGGTACTGAGTAAACATATGGGAGAAAAGTTGTATTAAATTTGAGAAAAAATGTTGAGAAATATTTATGAACCTTGGAAGATAGAGAATGAAGAATGGAACATAACGTAGAGTTGAGACAGCTACATTTGGATTCGGACATGATAGCCGAAGTATGAAGTAGAATAATGAGATGGGCATACACTAAGGAAAGACGACAACTCTTTAGCCAGGAAGGCCATGCCAGAAGAGACCTGAGAAATCTTGAAGGAAGAGAAGAAAAGTTGTGTGTTGGTACCACCTTGGGGACCTAAAGCCACGGTAGTTATATGGACCCAGCTGGTCAAGGCCAAGCCTCCATCAAAATGGGAATAGTTATCGATCCATGGTGAAGAACCAGCTGATGAAGTCAGAACCAGAAACCAGAAAGAAATCTGTCTGTCGTCATGTTGATTCAACACTAATTCTAAACGTTTCCTCTTAAAATGCACTATCATGGAATGACGACGTCCTATAGATTTAAATATAACCACACAAACTAGTCATGTTGTCATTTAAATCAAATTTCAAGTAATAATTTACAGTGGTCAGCACCAATATAACATTGCTAAATAACAATCTGTATAAGAATCAAAAACCTATAGTAAAAATGTTGTTGGATGGTTTAAAGTTGTTTAAAACATACAAAAGCAAAGTTTTACGTCTGAAGAAGACGGTTTATATTGTCACTTCAACTTTATCATAATATACAATGAACTCATAAGTGCGCTACTTGCGCAGTGAACAAAAGTATGTTCCCAACTAGGCTACTAGGCACTCATACTGTTTTGTCCTGGGCGTTGGGTTTTATTGCATTGTTTCATAACAGAATAAAGTGAAGATAAATATAAGACTCGAGACGCTATCGTCACATATTAATAATTATAGTTTGGAAAACATCATGACTAGTGCTGTATACAAAATAAATCTAAGCGTACCTTAACTCTGTATGCTGTTTATTGATAAATAACTCCATCTTACCTTGTAGCCTGTATCATTAGCTCCGTGCGGGATCTGAAACGATACGAACACATTTCAATGGTTTGGTGAGACATTTTTCATAACTTTTTTTATATTGGAACACACTTAAAAATATATCAATAAATCTTTAACACATTTTGTTTTAATTGAATTTATTTTATTTCAAGTGTTGTAAATCTTTGTGATGTTGGAACTTATTCATACAATTTGTATTTGATCGCCAAATTTATAACAACTATAAAGCTTTTTAGACTTAAACACGAGATAGAGAGTATTTAATTTTAATAATATTTTATAATAAGCATTTGTAAGGAGTAATTCGTGCAACTTCCAAGGAGTTAATATTTTTCACTCTAAACTTGAATGATTTGTGAGAATAGTACAAAAGTTTCTTCACACAACATTTTAAAAAGTGCAAACATATTTTACTCTTAATTAAGCATGTACACGAAATAGATTCTGTGTAAAATAAACAACAATATCCAACAATGACTTAAATAATCAAATTATTGCCATTGCGGTAAAATTACAACGATTATTGAACTTAATGCAGGTAATGAGGATTGCAATGATAAACCACGACTGCATTGAATGGCAGATAAAACGTCAATAAATGTGATCCGATATGAGCGCTCATCCATGGATGAAGGGTTGTGATTTATGAGGTAGGGTATCTGGACAAACGAATCATCTGGGGGATCTCTGCTGATACAACAATCAATCTGCAGAATACCTTACTACTCCGGCAGCAGATTATCAAATAATGTTGATTTGAGGTAAGGATTTAAAAATAACCCCCGCCACAGCAAACCTAGAGCTAAGCGAATTTGCATGTATGATTGGACTTTTACTCAATGTGTCCTTAAACTTGTCAGATTTATTACGTAAAAAATACATTTTATGTTTTAAGGGTTAGGAATAGGAAAAAAATCACCCCCCCCCCCACCATAAAACCCCTGTTTATACAGTATCATGTTTAATTATATGAATATGAACGAATGGTGTTTTGGGCCACTGGGAACCAAAAAACTAAAAATTAAATCGTTCCCGGGGCTAGGTCTTACCATGAGACCTACGGTAAAATCTTATTACCTATGGTAAATTCGCTAAAAGGATTATGTTTTAGTATCCATAGGCTGTTTGGGGATATCAATGCAATGGCATTTGTTGTGTAGTTGGAAACTCAACATCGGTCTAAATTCCTATTTTTTTATAGACTCGGTTTGAACTCGTACCCCTGCACCAAAACGCTATCCTAATAATAACCTACCACATACCTACCATCGAGTTACTAGATCACATTCAAAACTTGAATAAATTCGATGCTGTTATATTAACCACACCTCGATTTTCGGTACCTTAGCTTAGGTTAGGATAGTTTAGTAAGTTTATTTGTATGTACAGTATTTTATGTAGAGAAAAAAACATACCAAAGAGAGTAAAGAAGAGTCAAACATTCAAAGCTTATTGATGAATATCGAATACTAAGCCAGAGAAAGTTTTTCACAGTTTGTATGTTACTACGCAAAGTGGAAACACTATCTTGAGGATGGTAGAAGACTAACGAAGTTAAAAATTATAGCTGAAAATTTTGATTTACACACTATAATAAACATTTCAGATAATAATCGTACTTTTTATAAGTTATAAAAAACTAAGTATATATATTACGGGTTTCAATTTAAGTAGGCTTATAATGTTAAGCTAACTCTAAAATACTCAAGTCAGTGAACTATTATTGACCATAGACGCACGTTATTGCATTTCCATAGCTTAGTGCTTCAGTAGACAGTTTTTTTTTCTGTAAATATTACAACAATTACCTAAGTTTAAATTTTAATTCCTCTCACTATACGCATGATCAAATTATCATTTAAATGTTCAATTGTTTATCAAAACTAATGATATCTGGGTTAATATGATTTTCATGAAAGGTATTGTTGAAATAATTCCATTATTAAAAGATAACTTTAAAGGTCAACGTGGGTAGTTCATTTAATATGAATTTAATTATCTACACAGTATCACAAGTTAAGCCAACCGCGTTCTCTCGCTGATGTACTAATTATTGCTATAATCCTACACTAGAGGATGTAATCCCACCTTACTAAAGCTAAATCTCTTTTAATTTCCCCCACGATTAGCGAGGTACCAGGAGGAAAATGAAAATTGAATCGTCAAATTTTGACATAGAGAATATTATTTTTATTACATTGATGTTCTCAAATGTAAAGTTTTAATTAAAGTTTTTATGTATAAGATTTGTATGAACTATTTGTGAGATAATATTATTTTTATAAAACTGATTTGAATCCAGGCCACATACTCTGAAGGTCTGCATAATAATCCAGGGAAATTTTGTTGTACTATTTAGGAAGAATTTTAATGGTAAACTTTTAATACACGAGTGTTCTTCAGTGTTATGCTGCTTAAAAGAAGTAATCGAAGAATACATTTACATTATACATTTTTTGGCGCCTCTTTAGTAGTATATTTAAGGTGCAGTTTTTGAAATTTACTTCAAATATACAACAACTGATCTGAGATTTCAGTTATCAATTAATCTGAGTTGTTAATTAATGTGAATGGGATTTTTTTATTTAACTGTTAAAAATATTTTCAAGGTCTTAAATTTGTCTACCACAGACATTTTCATCTTACAACACGTTTGGCTTAGTTCGTCTTCACTTGGTTCCTCAGTACAACTGTAGAGCACAAATCAAAATTTAAATTCAGCGAATCACAATTCACCTAGTTTATTGCCCATGGTGTAATTGTGTTTGGTCGAGTGTGAAATTATAAACAAAATAATAACGATAAATCAGACCAGAACGTAATGAGGGCGCGTGTACCAGACCGGGTCCAACGCAAGGCCGGGGTGAAATATGGAATGGCCTGGGAAACCTACAACTGCTACAATGTCTATGGGACATACGATATAATGTCTGTAGAAGTTCACGTATTATAACAGTTTGTTATACTATGTAAGGTAAAATTATTGGTTGCTAAAATACATATTTTTGTCTCATGATGTCCTAGGCTCTAGCTTGGTATAGTTTTTCACATTACTGTACTTCAGGCTAGGGATTGCAGCAATATCACATGGATAAATCCATTTATTTGTGATTGTTGGTATTTTAACTCCAGACCTCAGCGACCAAAGTCTTGCGTTCTTGGACTAGCTTGCTCTTCTGGCTTGAATACATAATGTAACTTCAGAATAACTCAAATATTCAAAGCAATTTTTCAGGAGTCAACATTGTTTAGTGAAGGTAATTTACTAATTAAACAAAATCAAAAACTAATTTACAGTAGATTTTATGCACGTGTTTTTAGCTTTTAATTATTGATAACAATTTAAAGACGAGTTTTACCACAAACTGCAAGAATAATATAATATTCCACAAATATTTTTGACATAAAACTTATTGGGTTGTTCGACCAATAAGAAACAATATAATATAGTTTTTACAAACAGAAAGCTTTAAACCATACGGTCGGTGTATACAATACAAAACCACTTTTAAATTTTTAGTCGTTTTGGTCGAATAAATTATTTAGTGAAAAAATTATGACAAGTATGGAGGTTAATAGAGGGTACGCAGTATGTAAATTTTTCCGATTCAAGAACTTTTGTCCAATATTTCTGACATTTATTATCTAGGAATGTTAACGTTAGACAGGTCATGCAACATGACAATATTCAAACCTTAATATTATAGTTTTTCACTGACTATTTAAATACAATATTTAAGTCGAGTAAGGCTTATGACAACATAATTTAGTTTTTACATAGCTGCTAATGTAACACTGAAAATGCAACCTAAAATGATACAACTGCCTCATACTATTTTTAACAAAAAATATGTCACGGAGTAAAATACGAATAAAGCTGACAACGTTTGCATGTTGTAGTCCCGCGGAGGCCCTCCAGTCCTAATGAATGGACAAGGGGGTGGGGGAGAGAGAAGACTGAATAATGCAGACAATATCAAGAAGACCTCCTGAGGGACTTGGGGTTGGTAATTATATCACTTCATCGATCCTGGAGGGGAGGAAAAGAGAAAAGAAGAAGAAAGTAAAGAAAAGAGCATTGGTGTAATTATGTAGGCTACTGTACAATTGTACATACGTGGTGTATATTATGATGACTACAAACAGACATAGGTGTCCTTTTCCTTAAGTATAGGCTTATAGTTTAGGATTTTAACTCTACTGGAACAAGTGCATAGAACATCTCAGACACGTTTTTTGTTATTTTGTGATTAACAACTGGATCAATAGTAGTGGTTATTATGGTAGTAATATGGTAGTAGTGGTTAGTGTGGTTATTAGTAGAGGTAGTAGTAGTAATTAATCCATCAGAAATGGGGAAGCTGAGGAAATTATCTTAACTATACCAACGAGGGACTTTTGTACCGGTTAATACTGCAAGACTACGATAGAAATACTGTACTTTTAGAGGGTGGGTAGTGGTCTAATCCAATTGAATATCATAAAACATATTTTGAAAGATCCGCTAAACATACCATTGTATTCATCAGCATATATTGCAACAGGGTTATAGACACAAATTGAGTTAAATATTTGTAAAATCAGGGTTTCGTTTAAGTTTATAACGTGTATTTATGCTATGACTGAAGGTACCTAAAGTTCTTTCTATTTGTGATTAAGGTCATTCCATTTTATAATCATGTTATATAACTTAGTAACATGTAGACATAACACTAACTCTAATCATAATGTTGTAAGTTTAATTTGTAAACATCGCTTTGTGTAGTAGCATGTATACTAGTATAAATAGAAACTTATCGGAAGGAAACAATGCAATTCTGTGAAAATCTTAAATACTTATAATCTTTGTAAAATTTCATCGAGTAAACTTACTTTATATATTTCCCGGGTAAATGAAGGTCTTTAAATCGTACATACAAACACAATACACAGTTCATTGGATTTTAGCCAAAATATGTTTCAATAATATAACTTTTTCCCATGAATACAATCCTCGTAAATGTTTTCTAACGGAATTG